CTTACATGCCACTGCTTTCCCTTTTCTCCCGCCCTTTCTTCTCCTGCTCCTCTCTTTTGTTTCTTTTTCCCACCCGGTGCCGCGCCGTCTGCCGTTGGAGAGAGACATACATACCTACAGATAATACTCCTCCTCCCGACCGCAGCCCCTCCACACCCCCCCCCCCCCCCCCCCCCAGCAGCAGCAACAACCAACCATACCATTCGTTCACTTCTTTCCACAACGTACCGTACCGTCCCCTGCCTGCCAGGTACCCTAATTTACCTTACCTTACATCAACCCGACTGCACCGCGTCCTTTGCATCTGCATCGCGCCCACCACGCTCCTTGGCCAATAACTCAGCCTCTCATATTGTATAATTCAACCCTCTCCCGCCATCCCACCACATCCTATCCCTCCTCGCCCTATCCCCTTCTTCCCACTCCTCGAATCTCGACCCTACCTTGCCTTAGCGGCACGCTACCGCCTGTTCTAATCAACGTGCTCCTCCGGCCGCCTCGTCAGCCTGTCGCAGAGCTGCCCGGGTGCTCCTTTGATACATGACGCATGTGCTGCTAGGGTCCCCCCTTCTTAGTGGCATAACTTCTTCCCCAATCCCCCATCTCCTCGTGGGTTCTTCTCCGTTATTCGCCTCCTTCATCGTGCTTTGATCGTTCAGCCCGACCGATCTCCGCCTACCTCTTGCGCCGCTGCGCCGGTTGAGGGCCTTTGCCACTGGACCTCTCTAATCCCCGACGAGCCCAGACGACGGGCGGCATTGCTGGACATATGCACCATGAATCAGGTTACAGCATAGATCACCACTTGGCCTAGACTCCGGGCGTCCGATCAAGATTTCCAGACTCACCTGCTGTCTGCCTACCTGCTTGTCTGGATATTGGATATCCCAGACGAACTGTCACGGCTCGGCACCGGACATCACCCGTCTGCTGGCTTAGCTCTTGGACCACACATCAGCATTGTTTCTGCCCCTCCTCGTCATTTCCCGACAAGCCTCACTCTCATGGCTTACACTGGACCACAATCATATACACCGTCCCTCCTCCGTCGTCCTCTTTTACACTCGTTCTAGCCCTCAGCTCCAAGAGCCGCAAAAACAACCCCCCCCCCCCCCCCCCCCCCCCCCCAAGAAAACCAAAATCACACCTAGGTCACCTCCAACTCAGTCATGGGCCTTTTCAAGTCGGCCAACTCCCCTGCACCTAGCGCCACGAACCGTTCCATGACGGGCCAGTCCATTCGTGGCAAAATATCAGGCCCAATCCCCATTCCGAATCCCATCGACGACGAATTTCCCATGCGCAACCCGGGCACCGGCATTGCTACGCCGGTAACTGAAGGCAACATGAGAGAGCAGATGATGAATCCTCCCCAGGCCGAGCCCGTGGTTGGATCAACTGTTGCGACTCCCCAGCCCGAAGTCTCACAGCCGCCGAGGACCGAGTCCGTTGTTGGCCCTCCGGGAACCGGCTCTACTTCTGGCTCGTCTCCAACCGCCGCATCCCACGCCAACTCCCACGTCAACTCCCACTCTAATTCTCCTCAGTCGCAAAGAAGAACGAACGTGTCCAGCAACCTGAGATACTCTACGGTCAGCGCTGCGTCCGAACAGACCGGTGCGAGCAAAGAAAGACCTCAGCGCAAAAAGTCAACTTTGCGCGGCGCATTGGGGAAGCTTTTTGGTCGCAAAAAGAAGGGCAGCCAGGGCTCGTACGACTCGCAGCGCATGTCGACCTACAACCCCACGAACCAAAACCAAAACCAACACAAGAGCGTGAGTTTCGGCAGCGGCCGCTCCCGTGCCATCGCACCTTTCTTGATTTCAGCAGAACAGAAGCTAATTCGAGCTACTAGGACCCTTCCGCTTTAACCCGAACCAAGGAGTCCGAACCCAAGCGATCGGCGTCCTTGCCGATCACCGAGTACGACAGAGCATTAAGGTCTCACTCTATCGGTCCCCAGGATATCACGGCTATTGAGAGCGCGCGAAATTCGATTACAGTCGACCCATCGCAGTTGCAAACAAGCCGTAAACGTGCGGCTACGTCTACAATAAGCCAAATTTACTCCGCTCCGTTTAGGCGTGATGGCGAGCTGGCAGGTCTGTCGCCTCGTCCAGCGAGCACCCACGTTCGTGGAAGCCGACTATTCCACTCCGACGACGAGGACCCTGAGGAAATCGGCCGCGCAATTACGAGCGACGTTGGCCACAAGCGACGATCCAGAAGTCTGAGCGGAATCAACAACCCCGAAGCAAGGGCTCACGTTCGCAGACGCAGCGATGAGATCCAGTATTGGAGACAGAGTTACGATCCGGCCTTCTACACGTCACCAGCGACGACCAATCCTCCTGATGACGAGAACCAATTTGCAGGACTTGCACCAATGGACATGCCCGAATCCCCAGTTTCCCCTATAGAGCAAGCACAAACCCCCATGCGCACTCCCCCTCAACCGTTCTCTTTCGGCAACTTGACTCACATGAACGTCATGGCGGGCATGAAGATCACGCAAGCAGCCAGTATCGAGACTCGGATCGAGACTTTGGAGAACAGGATGCAGCGTATGGAAGACGTTGTCACTCAACTGTGCAACTCGGTTCCTGGATTCCAGGTCCAAATGACCCAGCCAGGTCGACCTGCGCCGCCTGTGCCTCCCTCGCAATCGAGCACTGCTGTGAATCCCACGCTTCAGCAGGTCGCGCGCCAAAGTGCTCCGAGCTCGAGGTACAGCAACTCGGCACAATCAAACACCTCTTTTGGCGAAGCTCCTACGTACGTCGGTTCTCTGCACGTTCACACCGGCATGAACCGGCCAACCTCCAATGCGACTATTCGCGGCGTCACCAGTTTGCCTGCTATGCCTCGCGCTGAGGCTGGCCGGCCCACAGAGACCTTTACGGCGGATCATTACACGATGCTCCTCGCGCTCCTCGAGACCGAGAGGTCTTCTAGACAGGCCCTTGAATCTCAGGTGAAGAAGCTCACGAGGCGCATCAACATGATTTCGGGACCGACCGGCAATGGCCGCATGTCTCTGCAGATGGAGCCCCCGCCGACGGCCAAGTCATTCGGCAGCGTATCGGCTTTCGATCATGACTCATCTGACGACGAAGATGCCGCCGCAAGGAACCGCCGTTTCTTGGCTGAAGATTCGGGCGTTGGCACTGGTGTCGGAGACGATGACTCGTACTCGGAGGTCTTTGCCACGCCGAAGGAGGAGCAGTCGCACGGCTACGGCGCCTTCGGGGAGGATCTGCTCGACGAGGATGATGATCCTGCGCGTAAGAAGGCAGCCAGGACGTTGTCCCTCAGCCAGATGACGCTGGGCAAGAAGGCGTCGAGAACGGGAGTACGAAGTTGACGCAGTCGGCCGCTTTCTAGTGCGTTTTTTTTTTTTTTTTTTTTTTTTTTGAGATTTCTCATTATACCCCGGGATATTCCTCCCACTCATGAGACGACGACGGTGGTTCTTTTCTCGGCAGTTGTTGAGTTGAAGTCTCGCTCGTCTTAGCGATTCGGCATTGATACCTCATCGGAATTTCTGACGAATTCAGCATTATTACGGTAGCAGAGTCTTTTGTTGCATTAATCTGTTCTCTTCTAGTTTATTCTTGTATATGACTACCCATTTCCGTTCTGGACGAAACAGTTGGAACAGTCTTGATGGGATACATCCCTATGACGCGGATTTCTTTTTCTTTGGGTTTCATTTCGTTTCTGAGAGTCTGGCCGTGTTGGCGGGGATGAAGACTTGCAGAGCTCGTCAGCAGGTAGTGTCGCGCGCATCGTCATTTCCAAGTGTTCAAGGGCCAGCGTAAGCCTGGGAAGTTTCACGTCGCGAGAGGTGGAGGTGCCAATTTGTGGTCGCGTACCGCTGTTCGTGGTGCCAGGTGGGATCGAAGATAGCTAATAGCTTGAGTGTCGCACTCTGAAGCCGTTTCAGGGTGTGCGCGTGTACAATATCAAAAACATGTTCACACAAGTATGAAGTCTTTGAGATGAGGATCATGTCGATCGTCTAGAGTTGCACTGTCACTCGTACGATGGTCCCGCCTGGGTTATTGCAAATCCATCGTGGAAGCCACATGGCTGGCGTCCGCTTTGTCCACAGAGAGGTTGTGCACCCGAGCCTGCCGTGGCGACGAAACGAACAGCGGGCCGAAAGGACAAGGCTAAGGGACAAGGTCGCCCAGTGCCAATCTCCGGGTTGTCATCTCGGGAAGAGGAAGAGGAACTGGACCAGAATGTTTCGAGAACAATTCTCGGTTCCAGCCACCCATATCGCCGCTAGCATGCCGTTGGGAATGGGGAACGGGGAAATCTAGCAAGGGCTTGGCCTGGGCCGTCAAGCAATTGTTTCCAGGTCCGCTCTGCCCCGCAGCCGTGATTTGGCAATTGCTTTCCGAATGGTCCGAAAAATGTCGTATTCCAGAGTCAGCCTGTGCAAGTAGTGGCTAGTTATTTACCTAGGCATTGCGCGCATAGCATAAAGCTGGAATACCTGGAAGTCCGAAGGGGTAATCGCCGGCCGTACGCGGCGCCCGCGACCGAGTCATCCCCGTATCCATCCCCCCCGCCTCCGAAAGATTGCGGCGCCGTCTGTTCGGGTGGACCTACGTAAGCAGAAAACAAGCCGACCACTAAGGACGCCCAGAGATAGGCAGCTAATCTGCCACGCACAACCTCTATGCTTAGCTTCCCGCGCGACATAACCCAAAGATACGCACATACCAAGCCAGACCAGCCTCCCGTCCCGCGCGTGCTCCTCGTGGTGAAAAGCATATTTCGCATCCATCACTTTTTTCCTTCCCTCCCTCTTGAACCCCTCGCCGCCACCAAAACCCCTCCTCGTTTGCGCCGTGACATCAACGTCCCCAATTTTGCGGTCGAACGTCATTGCCCTCCTCCCCACCCCGTAGAGGATACGTCGCTCGCAATCTTTGGTCGCGTCACTGAATCCCTTCAAACTCGGAAATCCTCAACAAACCGTCGCAGCAATGTCCGGCTGGGTAGATTGGTCAAAGACCACGCGGTCCTCCGACTACCGCGGGTCAACCTCCTTCGCAACCTTCATGATCATTGGGCGTATGTCATGCAACCCCAACCCCAACCCCGCCCCCGTCTTCGCGGCGCAATGATGCTAACCCCACGCGCGCAACAGCAACCTGCTTCTTCCTCGGGATCCTCTTCGCCTCGTTCCCCTACGACTTCCCCCTCCTCTGGACCTCCGCCCCCGTCCCCGAGTCCTTCTACGCCCACCTCGAGACGCACCTCAAGTTCATGCACCAGTCCCCGCCCCTCATCGGCCGCCTCCTCAACATCATCGTCTTCACCGGCTTCCTCGGCTTCTTCATCAAGCTCTTCCGCCCCTCCGAGGCAAACGTCCTCTTCGACGGCGCCTCCCTCGTCCTCTACCTCATCGGCGTCGGCGTCTACATCACAAACATCGTAAAGGGCCTGCGCTCCGTCAGCGCCGGCATCTGGGACGACCCCAACTGGGCCGCCAACAACAACGGCGGCGACGACAACGAGGTCATCCTCGGCAAGGAGGACAGCCTCAAGGTCCTGGCCGCGAGCAACACCATCCTCGCGCTCGTCCTCGTCGGCGTCCTGGTGTTGCAGGCCGGGCAGTGGTACGCGGAGCGCAAGGACCGCGAGGACTTTGCCAAGCTCGAGGAGGAGGAGAACAAGAAGGGCGCGTCGTCCAAGAAGAAGCAGTGAGGTGTCGGTTGTTATGGCGCACTTGTCTAAGTAGCAAGTGGGAGGCAGGCGACTTGCATTGGACTGAGAGCAGTTGGCTTCCTCCTTCATGCGGAGCCTGGGTGGGACGTTATATGTCATGAACTTTATTTGTCATGAGTGCGATGTATGCACGCGATCATCGCTTCAGCGAGTCGCTCAGTTACTGTCAAAAGGCACCACGTATTGAATATACCATGTCTAACGTCTTTTTTTGTATTCTGGGTCTGTCTACCCATGGGTCAACAAGGTGCTAAAAACAACTAATGAAATCTTTTCATATGACGACCATGCCCCTTTTCTTTTCTTCTCATCTGCTCTCTTTACTTCATCATGCAACATACGCTTACTCAAGCTTGAGCTGCTCAAACTGCTTAATCGTACCCTCGAAACCCCTCGCCTCAGACTCGAGGTCGACAACCTTCTGCCTGTCGGCCTTCTGGACGGCCTCCGCGACCTTCTCCTGGTAGGCGGGGTCCTCAACCAGCTTGCGCTGCTTCTCGATGTTGGTGCGGGCCTTGTCGAGCTTCTTCTTGGCCTTCTCGATCTCGGCGTCGAGGTCGACGCGGCCCTTGACGTGGAGGTAGACCGAGGCGGAAGAAGCGACGGGGAAGGCGACGCAGCCGGCGGGGCGGGCAGCATCGGGGGCGACGATGTCGATGCCGGTGACGCCCTTGCCGCTGAGGGACTTGATGGAGGCAACCTGCTCCTCGATGGTGGAGGCAGAGGTGGCGTCGTGTGCCTGGATAATGACTGCGATTCGTTAGTGACTGACATACACATAGTATGTGAGAAAACCTACTTCTAGCCTCCTCCTTCTGGGCGTACTCGCTCATGAGCGATCTCGCGGCGCGAGAGCAACCCAGGACAAGCTCGTAAGCGGCCTCGGACTTGTGGTCATCGAGCTTGGCGTTGTAGACGGGGTAGCTGGCCAACATGATGGACCTGGTCTTGTCCTCGGGACGGCGGGGCAGGCGCTGCCACAGTTCTTCCGTGATGAAGGGAGTGAAGGGGTGGATCATGGTCAGCGCACCCTCAATAGCAGTGTAGAGGGTCTGGACAGCGCTGGCCTTCTCCTCCTCGGTACCATCCTGGATAATGGCCTTGCTGTTCTCGATGTAGACGTCGCACAGGTGGCTGAGGATGTACTGGTAAACGATGCCCGTGGCGTGCTGGAACTCGCGCTCGCCCAAAGCGGTGTTGATGTCCTTGGCGGCGGTGTTGAGCTTGTGAAGAATCCACTTCTCAGCAAGCGTCTTACCGGCGGCGGGCTCCTTGAGAGGGACGAAGTCCTCGGGCAGCTTGCCGAGGACGTACTTGGACGCCTGCCAGATCTTGTTGCAGAACTTTCTCCAGCCGTGCATGACCTTGACGTCAAAGTTGACATCGCCGCTTGTCGAGGTAAGCGCAGCCATGGTGAAGCGGAGGGCGTCGGCACCGTTGCGAGGCAGACCCTCGGGGAAAGCCGTCTTCTGGTACTTCTCGGCCTTCTGGACCTCGCTGGGGTGCAGGTTACCGGTGCGGAGCTTGGCGTGGAGGTCCGGCAGAGAGATACCGGAAATAGCATCCAAGGGGTCGATGACGTTGCCCAGGGACTTGCTCATCTTGCGACCCTCAGAGTCACGGACGAGACTGTGGCAGTACACCTCGGTGAAGGGAACCTGGCCAGTGAGCTTGATGCCAAGCATGACCATACGCGCGATCCAGAAGAACAGAATATCCCAACCAGTCTCAAGGACGGAAGTAGGGTACAGCTCAGCCAGATCGTTAGTCTTATTGGGCCAGCCCAGGGTAGAGAAGGGCCAGAGGCCAGAGGAGAACCAGGTGTCCAGGACATCTTCATCCTGCTCCAGGGTGAACTTCTTGCCGGGGAGGGCAGCCTTGGCCTTGGCCTCAGCCTCCTCGCGAGTCTTTCCAGCGAACCATTGCTTGCTGTCCAACGAGTCGGACTGTTCACCCTCAACCTTGGCCAGGTAGACGGGGCAGCGGTGTCCCCACCAGAGCTGACGGGAGATACACCAGTCGTTGATGTTGGCCATCCAAGCGTAGAAGCTGCGCTCGGAAGACTCGGGGCGAATCTTAATTCTGCCATCCTTGACAGCAGCAACAGCGTCATCAGCCATGCTGCGCATGCTCATGTACCACTGAGGCTTCAGCAGAGGCTCAATAACATCCTTGGAGCGCTCACAGAGGGGAATGGTCATGGCGTTGTCCTTCTTGTCAACGTAGAGGCCAAGGCTCTTGAGCTCATCCTGGATGGCGTAACGGACGTCAAATCTCTTTTGGCCCTGGTACTTGCCACCGTTCTCGTTGATGTTACCATCATCGGTGAGAATGTTGATGAACTCGAGACCGTGCTTCTGACCAAGGTTGAAATCGTTGGGGTCGTGGGCGGGGGTCAGCTTGACGGCTCCAGTACCGAACTCCCTGTCGACGTAAGTGTCGGCGACAATGGGCAGGAAGCGGCCCTCAATGATAGGGTGCTTGGCCCTCTTTCCAACCAGGTGCGTGTATCTGGGGTCCTCGGGGTGGACGGCGATACCAGAGTCACCCAGCATCGTCTCGATACGGGTGGTGGCGACCTCGAGGAACTCATCGGAGCCCTCAATGGGGTACTTGAAGTGGATAATGACACCGAACTCGATCTTCTTCTCGTAGCCGGGGACGTCGAGCAGTGTCCTGCCTGTCAGCTCCTTGTTGTTGACCTCGAGGTTTGACAGAGCAGTGGTCAGGCGGGAAGACCAGTTGACAAGTCTGTTGGCACGGTAGATGGTACCCTCCTCGAAGAGTCTGACGAAAGTCTCGGCGACAGCGGCGGACAGGTTCGCGTCCATGGTGAAAGCCTCACGGCTCCAATCGAAGCTTCCTCCCATCTTTCGGAGAGCAGCGTTGATCTTGTCGTGGTATTCGCCCTTCCAGGTCCAGACCTTGTCGACAAAGTCCTCACGGCCCAGGTCATGACGGGTCTTTCCTTCTCTCCTCCAGAGCATGTTCTCGACAACGCTTTGCGTCGAAATACCGGCGTGATCGCAACCGGGCAGCCAAAGCGTCGTCTTGCCCAACATGCGGTTCCATCGAATCATGATATCCTGGAGCGAATCACCAAGGGCGTGACCAAGATGCAGAGCACCAGTGACGTTCGGCGGGGGGTGGGCAACGACGAACTTGCCCGCAGGCTTGCACTTGCCATCGGCCGTGAACTCGGGCTCTGTCGCGGTCAGCTCAGAATTCCTCATCTGCCCATTTGCGTCTTACTGAAGAAGCCCTCCTTCTCCCACCATTCATACCAGGCGCTCTCGACAGCCTCGGGGTGATAAGCCTTGAAGTGAGGATCTTCAAGAGACTTGAGGCGCTTCTTCTCTCCCTTCGGGGTATCTTCAACGTATTCAGGGATAGCCTCCTCCTCTTTCTTCTCGGCCTTGGCCTTCTTTTCGGCCTTCTTTGAAGGAGCAGCAGTTGCGGCCTTCGCGGCCTGGGCAGCTTGCTTCTGCGCAAACTTGGCAGCCTTCTCGGCCTTCGCGCGCTCCTTCTTCAGCTCCTTCTCGGTCTTCACCTTCGGCTCCGCGCCGGCGGCGGCGCCGGCGTCCTGGCCAGCAGCATGGGTATCGGCGGTCGCGGCGACCTGAGCCTTCGTTTCGTTCGAGGCAGGGGGAGGAACCTCCTCCTTGAGGCCCTCAGTGGCCCCGACTAGAAGATACAAGAACACACAATCAGCTTCAAAGTCGAATCATACGGCTAACGAGATGCGCGGGGTGGGAAAAGGCATCGTGAGAATGTGGGGGTGTATGGAGGGGTAGGCGTACTGGGGTTTCCGCGTCCGCTGTCGGTAGCCATGGTGGCACGTGTCTGGTGAAAAGGTCGAAGACTTCGACAAGAACGGACAATTGGACGTGGACTGAGGATTGGAGGGCGCACGCGGAGTGCTCGCAGAAATATTGATCTGGACGTGGTGGATATTGTGGTGAAGAAGCCCGAGGGAGAGGGGCTTCAACTTATGTCCAAATACCAGGTGGGAAAAAATAAGAGCACAGAGGTTTCCCGATGAGGGGCAGGGAATTATGACTCGGCGGTCTGTTTGGCAGCACTTCCTCGAATTTGACTCACAGGATTGGACGTCTAGGTCTGCGCTGAGCGGCGTGGGAGGGAGGGGTCGTCCGCCATCATGCGCAAAATCGGATCCGGCGCACGCCTAAGGCCCTCCACTGTGGCTAGTTGCGCAGGGGTCTCTGCGTATCGATAAGCAACCTAGCCCGGTAGCGGGTCCCCTGGACTGGGAAAGGGTTCCCCAGATGCACCGTGGATGACTGGACAGCCACGGCGTCCAATTGAAGCATCATCAATTCAGTCATCGTCTTGAGGTTTGGGACTTTTGTTGTCTTACAATCCTACCTTCCTTTCTCAGGTCCTGATTATAAACACTCTTTTTGACTCAATTGCTTGATATCGCAATCTTGAAGACTGCCGTGTATGCAGGATACTGTGGTTTCTAGGTGAAAACCCGGACAACACCGAAGAAAAGTGGTGACGCGATGTACTCGCCGAGGGCCTTCTCACGGCTCAGTCACATCCGTCAACCCCCAGTTTCCAGAAGATGGTTCTCTGAGGTCTCTCGATTCTCCGTTCATGGCAACGCAAATAATTCAAAGGTACATTTCAAATATTGCCCAAAACTTGTCTATCTCTTGACTCTGACCTTAATGGCTTAGAGCAGCCTCATCACGACAATCAAAGGCGCTCAGCTGGATCATAGCAAGCAGAAAGATGCTCTCCTCATCCTTGCTTCTCGCCAGTTTGCGTCTTGGCTTCAGGATGAGAAATTCATGGGAAGTCTCATAGAGCCCTTCTCGGCATCAAATCAAGACACCAGCGGATTCCATACTCTTGCCGCGGCAGTGGATGGCCTTCAACCTCTTCAGACTCTCGGAGAGATCCCCCACGGGTTCTCCTTCTATCGTGGCAACCTCGAATCGCTTTTCCCCAACTTGTGGAAAGACTCTCAGTCAAAACCCTCGAGCAATACGAAGCTGCAGGCATCCCTCAACTTCCAGCTCAGCCCTCTCAATACGTTTTCTTCTTCCACGACATGTACGATGCCTCTGGCCAACACCATATTCCAGAACGGCAGGCAATCGACGCTTCTAGCAACCCGCTGGAGCAGATCTGGAAACACAATGGTCCAGGCCGAGGTCGCGGAGAAACAGACCCAAGACGTGTGTTTCCATCACGACCTCGCCAGTGCCGAGACTGCTATTGAGGCGCCATTGGTTCCCATAACAGCCCCTCGCAAGATTCTCAGCGGTCTAGGCAACATCATTCGGCAAATTGAGGTTAATGATCAACCTGCCCCGGCGTCAAAGGAGCTCGAAACTGCCGTTCAGACTCTTTTTGACAGAAGACTGAATGAAGGCCACGAGTTCCCTCCGGGTCCTGTTGGCGTTTGGGCCGTGGTTGTCCCGCCCTCCGCCAAGCAGTCCGAAGACGTGGAGCTTCTACGGGAGTGGGCAAGCAGGCTGAATGAGAACAGTACTGCGGAAGATGAGTGGAAGCACGCCTTGGACACGAAGGGTTTCATGCGGGGTCTGCTGAGTCACGGCACCAGAGTCTACAGAATCCGTAAGACCCCTTCTGAGATACTGACCTAGTCTTGACGTGCTAATAATCGTCGCAGTGAGTGGCGGAGGTGGATGGGGAAAGAAGCAAGGTCTCCTCTCCCTGGACCCTGAAACCAAGTATTCACCCTCTTCCGAGGAAGAGGACCTTGATAGCTTCATCCGCTCCTTCTCCAGCCAACACGACGGAAAAGCCCAAGAAGGCGTCGTGGCCCCGGGCTCATACGTCCAGTACTTCGTCTCTCCTCCCGCCACCGCCAAGCCGGCGCTGTCTCCCACTCAAAGCTCATTTGCAAACGTCGCCTTCGGAGCTTCAGAGAGCGCACTCGCGGAGGATACGGCCTCTACCGAAGGTCCGTCGGGGTGGGAAATCGTGCCCGGTCACTTTGGTGCCGTCAGCAGCCACGGACTTTTCATCGCCTCTCAAGGAAATACGCTGGCACATACTACCGAGACGAAGCTCGACGTGCCAGACACATGGGTCGGTTACCACAATTGAGGGTGGTACGGTAAATGCATGGGTTGTAGTCGAGCGCAAAGCTCGTGTATTATAATTTGTAACACCGCAAAACAGCATCACCGACATAGACAACACCATATAATTTTCGAAGCCAAATGTGCAATGTCGTCCAGTCTCTATGAAAATCGGGAATCGGGCACTCAGCATTAGTTCATCTGTTGTGTCCTGGCGCCTGGCTGTGCGCGGCAATAACGAGCCGGAAACTGACGCAATTCTGTAACTGCAGCTCAAGTGGCTGCATATGTACCGCAATCTTCAACCTCCACAACACCAACTCATCACATACATCAACTAATTTCACATAAACCCGCCGATATTAATCTCCCAAATGGCTACCAACGGCGTAACATCCTCAAAGATTGGAGTTATCTCCATTGGTGACATGGGCGTAGGCATAGCCAAGCTCCTCATCGCCAAAGGCTTCGAGGTCGCAACAAATGTCAAAGGGCGCAGGTAGGCAACTCACCTACTCACTCTCAACTCCCTCACATCCAGGTCATCTCAGTTCTAACCTTCTTCACAGCGAAGACACAATCCAGCGCGCCCGTGATGCAGGCGTAGAATTAATAGCCTCAGACTTCGACCTAGCATCTCAATGCGCCGCAGTCCTCTCCGTCGTGCCCCCGCGGGACGCCGAGACCACCGCCGACCGCATCATCGACGCACTCCAAGGAACCACCCGCCCCGTCCCGCTCTACTTCATAGACATGAACGCCGTCGCGCCCTCGACCTGCAAGTCCATGGCGGCGGCCTTCACCCGCTCCCGCGTCCCCGCAGTCTTCATCGACGCATGCATCATTGGCGCCCCGCCCCGCCTTCGCTCTGCCCCGAACGCGGGGACAAACGTCTCCTCCTCCTCGGCCCCGCCGACGGAAGATGGTGACGACTGGATCGTCCCCGGGATGCCCATGTCCGGGCCTGACACGCTCGTCGACTTCCCGGGCGGCGCAGAAGGCCTGGGTGCGAGGTTGAGCGCCGTGCTTGGCGGCAAGCACATCTCGCCCGAGATCGGCGCCGCGAGCGGGCTGAAGATGTGCTTCGCGTCTATGTCCAAGGGCTTCACCGCCATCGCAACGCAGTCGTTCACCACGGCCTCACGTCTCGGCGTTCTGGACAATCTGCGCGAGGAGCTATCCGCGCGGCTGCCGACGCATCTCCAATTTGCCGAGAAGGGCGTCACGACGATGCCACCCAAGGCTTACAGATGGGTGAGGGAGATGGAGGAGATTAGCAAGACCCATTCCGAGGAGGGCGGTTTCGGGCCCGAGATGTTTCTGGGAGCTGCGGGGGTTTACAAGGCAGTGGAGGATTCTCCACTGGGGGCTGAGAAGATTGGAAAGAGAAAGAGGGGCACAACGCTCGAGGATATTGCGGCCGCTGTGACGGAGGGATTCGAGACGAAGAAGAAGAAGACGGACTGAAGTGCAAGAACGGTGAGAATGGTAGATAGCATGATCCCTCGCTGGGTCTTGATACAGGCGCCTCTAGCAAGATAACACAGCAATTTCGCACATATGGTAGTCACGATCACAAGGACACAACTGTGGTTTGAAGACGTTCACTCTGCCTACTCATCCCTCGCCTCTACGTAATTCATATGCACATCCGCTCCATCTGCTGAACCTGAAAGTCCGTAACGCCCTGCACCGTCATCCAGATGAGACCGACCCGTTCTTATTTTCGTAGCCCCCTTTCCGTTTATTAATACAGCGTAACCCATTACGTGCGCCAAACCAGTATTCACACATGCCTTTGGAAATAAAATGCCGAATCCCATCGTCACACATCGCACATTACAATACAGAAAGCGTCAAATCTCCCATGATGGCAGCCTTGAGCTGAATCTCGATATCGAGGTTCATTTTCAGATCGACAATGAATCCCCGTTCACCGTCGTCGAGGATGTCGCGCGGATTCCTAGTCCGCACCGGCAGGGGTCTGTCGCCGTCATAGTCCGGCCCAAACTCCACGCCCGGGGGCACAAGAGTCCCCTCTTGAGACTGTTCGAGGATCGGTCCCCGAAGGGAAAGATCCATCTCCGTCCGTGTCCGGATCGGACGGCGTCGAATAGGGGGAACCCCCGACGACGAGGAGCTCGACGTCGTGTCGGTGTCAGACGCCGCGGAAGGCGCGTTGGGGTCGCCAAGGCGCGGGATCCTTCTGGGTGCAGACCGCCGTACCGGTATGGCCGGCCGGCGAGGCACCGGGTCTGTTAGTTGTTCATCCTCTGACGGCATCGGTGGCGCCAGCGTTGGTCTTGAATTTGAGGCAGTAGGACGTCTTGGTCTAGGCCTCGATTGCCTTGACGAGTTGGGTGGTGGGGTTGGTGGGAAACGGCCAAGTTCCTCAACGTCGCTTCCACGTTCACGTTCTGAGCCGTCTGACACCGACCTTACGTCTCCAGAGTCTGAGGGCGGAGGACGCGCAGAGGGTCTCCTACGCCTAGGCGGCTGAGAGCTGGATCTTTGTGTCCGTTGTGTAGAGTTATTGCGAGGTGGACGTCTGCTGTTGGTTGATGGCGAATGGCCCTCCGTGTGCTGGGCAGATTCCATCCCGTATAAGAGATGGTGACCTTCTCACGAGGCCGGTCGACCAGATGATGACGGAATACAGAAGTAGTTAAGGGGTATTGCAAGGCCTCCGGAAGAGGTCGGGATGGCTAGACAATGTCAAAGACAGCAGGCAGCGGTTGCGTATGTCGCGCG